GGAATGTATGTTGCTGAATAGAAGATAGAGCAATGAATAGAATACAATGCAGCCATATCAGTGCATGCTTCTGTCGAGTAAATTGTCAATGCCTAACAAACTTATTCAAAATAATAACCATAACATGAAGACAGAATTCCCAGTTAACTATTGAATTAACGATGCAAAATGTTCAATATTGTACTCACATTTGTTATTAATTGTGAAGTCTCCTTCGTAGTCTTTCAACTCCATATACTGTACAGTAATGTTTATATTTAAAACACCACCTGGTGAGGTATCGAAACAATTTATTATTCTTTTCCTAAAGCGCAATTCTTTTATGATGATTGTGGTGGTGGTGATTATGATGGTTGTTGATGAATACGATGATGGTAGGCCTAATGATAATGATGAGGATGATTGTGACGATAATGATGATTGTTGATGATGGTTAATGATGATGATGATGATGATGATAATGATGATGATGGTGATGATGGCGATGATGTTTGTGGTGGGGATGATGATGATGGTGACGATGATAATGATGATGGCAATGATGATGGTAGTGGTGGGGATGATGATTGATGTGCAATGATGATGATAATGATAACGACGGTGCTGCTGATGATGATGGTGATGGCGATGTTGATGATTGTAGGATAAGAACCGACTACCAATGGAATCAGTATGTAGGCTGTTATGCAACTTTTAATTCTTTAAAACATGCACCATGAACGTAACGGGGGATGTAATAATGACGTTTAGCGTAGAAAGGATGACAAACGGAGGGCAGCTCCCGTTTGCGTCGCGTCCCGTTTCAAATACAACGGTGTGTCCAAACCGCGCCGGTTTTGGCAGCACCACTTTTTTCAATCCTATTACTAATTTTAATAAATATATACCGATACCCTGACACCTATGCGAATTTACTATTAATGTTCGCATCTATTGTCTTTTTAATGCCATATAGTTTTGGAGATTAATTTTTATCGCACAACACTGACAGCCATAACTGGAGCTTTTCAACTTGACACCAGTTAAATCATGAATACATTTTTTTTTACACTGTCATAATAATTATCACTTCAATAAATGGTTAGTACTGACCAATGTTTGTCTTGGAGTTTGTACAGTACTAAGATTTCTGCACAAGGATTCAACAAGGGCGGCAGAAATTGGTCATTAATTGGAGGGAGACCTGCATTAAACATTATTATTACGTATGAGTAATCTAAGCAAAATACCAATTGAGAAATTATCAATTTTTTAAGTTGCAATGGTCATGAATATTCATAATACTGTGTATTTTTTTAAAGTTCCATATTCCATTAGTGGCCCTCTTTCCGATGGCCACCATTAGTATGAAGTGTGTCTTACTTGGTACAGTACTAAGATTTCTGCACAAAGATGTAGTCAATGGGTTGTCTGTGGTTTTGCACAAAAACCAATTTTCACGAACATTTTCAGTTGTAACATATGTATTACTGTCATTTAATATTTTATATTTATCAGTATTTTTCTTTCTTGTAAAAGTTGAAAATATTATTTTATTACTCAGAGTCATTAATATGAAATACAAAATATATTCAAGAAAGAACATTTTAATATCTTCTTTATTAACACATTCCAAACATGCAAAGTACATTCATATTCGTTATATTTGCATATTTATATTATCAGGAGACTAACAACATGAGTTAATATTCATGCATATAATACTGCGGTGGTTCAAGCAAAATGTTTTACTGTATTTAATTTAAAAACTATAAAAGTGCACTTTCAAATTTTGGTTGAAAACCCCCAATACATTTCAGGGTGATATTGACAAGCCTTAACTATAAGTATGATAAAAACTTAATTTAAATTAAAACTTAAAGTATAAATTTAATTTAAGTACATTTTCCAATTTTGGATGAAAAACCACCAAATACATTGCAGTGTAATATTGGCAAGTAATAATACATCAAAACATTAAATTATAAGTAATACACTTCAAGCACAAACAAGCAAATTTTGAGGTTTCACCTACAGAAATATTACTATAAAGATACTTATATGGCTAATGAAATATTCTTAAAATAAAATCTTATACAATTTTTATGGAAGGCTATCGATAAGGCTAATAAAATAATTTTTAAATAATGTTTCATATAGTTTCTTCATATATATATATATGTATATGTATGTATATATACCACCACTAAAAGGGCTATAATTCAGAAACATATGCCCATTCTACAGACCACAGAACGTCTTAGGTCTGTTTTTCCGGATACACCGTTCATAGCCTATCGCAGACCACCTAATCTTCGTGATATATTAGTACGATCTAAATTCAAGAGGCAAACTAACTCTTGCGACAACCGTAATTTGGGTAGTCATCTTTATTCATCATGCAAAACATGCTCCTTGCTTGATTCTACACAATCATTCAAGAGCAACCAAACAAACCACATATTTCGGATAAGGCAATCAATTAATTGCCTCACCAAAAATGTCACTTATCTCATATATTGTAATATTTGTGGTAAACAATATGTCGGATAAACAAAAAACACTCTCCGTATGAGAATGACACAACATAGATCAGCTATCAGAACATCTAAGCTTGATCAACCAGTAGCCGAACATTTCAATTTAGCTGGTCATTCAATTTCAAATTTCAGAGTGATTGCAATTGACCATAATGCCAGTTGGAGCGACAAAAATCGCAAAGATAAAGAGAATCACTGGGAACTTTTACTTAAAACAACCACACCATTTGGACTCAATATTAGGAACGTTCTCCCAGTAAACTAAATTAAACACTGGCATTTCAATTTATTCTGGATAAATCATTTGGCTTATTTATTGAGGCTTGCCACTAAAGTTTAGTTTTGGCCTTCCTGTTTACTTGTTTAGGCTGTTTATTCTAATCTCACCCAGCCTATTGTTTACAATCATGCTTGCATAAAATTCTCATTTTATACCATCTAGCTTTTTCTACCCTCACTCCTCGCCACTGAGGAAGGACTAGTGTTGTCCGAAAGCTCTGGTTCTATTTCTGGCAGTTTACTTACGTTTACTTTTTAGCTGTTGCTTATCATTTTTGTATCTCTACTGAGATCCAGCCATTGTTTCCCACAGCATTGTTGTTTTTCAGTATTTTGCCTTTTAATATATATTTTGCTTTATAATATATATATGTATATCCATCCAGCAACTTTAAGGCATGTAAGGTATAAGGCTAAATAATTGCTTGTACTGTTATATATTTGCACCCCTATGGCAAGGAAAGGCTATGACCATGAAAACTGGTGGGTTGCATAGAAATAACACCAATTGCCTTTATAGCACTGAGAACATAATATTATTGGACAATACCGTATAGCAAATTACTGTATCTAAAATTTTATTTTATATATATTTTTTCATTTTTCATGTATATATGACTTACCTTAGTATTTGACTATTTGCTGTACATCTTGTATCTTTTGTTTTTAAATAAATTGATTTTATATATTAAATCTGGTAATAGCTGAACACTATCGCCTGATGGTGACGTGTGTACACATTGAAAAATATCATTTATAAGTATCGTACATAAAATTTTCTATAATAAAAGATTAGCTGTAGATATATAAAACCCTATTAATGCCTACACGCATGGCAAATTGAAGTTCGTTCCAATTTTCATCCACGACAACAACCTCATTAGTCTGTCCTGGAAGCTAAAAAAAATAATATTCTATATTTATAATCACATAATATATAATACTAGAACTTTAGTGTTATGTAAGGATGAATAAGTTGCTCCCCTTTCATTTTTTCACCGTTTTCACAAAGAGAGACAAACTTCAATTTCAACCACAACAGCATTTTGGTTCATGACTATTCTAATAGTGTACAAATAGATTAACTTAATTCATTATTTTTATGAATAATCAAAATCACATATTTTGAGCAACAAAACAAAAACAAATATATTTTCTGCAACTTACTACTAGCTGGACAACCTCCTCAATAGTGGAATCTTCATGGACTCCAAATGACAATATTTGGTTACCATAATGAACAACCACATCCACTAAATTTCAGAAAAAAAAAAAAAAAAAAAGTTTTAGTCTCCGTAGACAATTTTTTCGGCACAGCTCATCTTTAGACATATTATATACTAAAACAAGAAATGTAGTTAAGAATACAGTGCACCGACCTCAAATTTGAGACCTCTAATTCCAAGACATGTCTAATTCAAGACAACTTTTCAAAGAACCAAACAATCTTGTAACACAAAACATTTAAAATGACTTGTGCCCCATTTCACTGATGCCCACAACAGCTAAAATGATTATGTCACCAAGCTAAAGAAATGATTGAGCTGAACCAATTGGTTGCAGCATCTCTACTGTGGACACTCTTATAACTTTTTAAAGTGATTTGTGTTCTACTACTGGTGAAGTTGGAGTTTTGCTCCTTGATTTTAAATAAGCATATGATATAACTGACCATGGATTATTAATTAGCAAGTTAAGGTTAACAAACATCTTGTTTTATGGGTAAGAGCTTTTTAAGCAGTGTAGTACAACAGGTTAAGCTGGGGAATGTTTCATCATGGTTATCCTCCAATGGTGGAATTCCCCAGGGTTGCTGTTTAGGCGCCATATTATTTGTAAATGATCTGTCACCTACTAATTGCTGTACTAAATATATGGATGATACCAGGGGCACAGCCAGTATAGAATACAAGGGAGGTCAGTTGCGAGCGAAGCGAGCCACTTAGACTGGGGGCCAGGGACCATCAAAGGCCACCGGTTGGGGTCCAGGGGCCAAAGCCCTAAAAAAATTTGTGTTATTTTACATGCTACAAGACAGACAGTACGTCCCAATTTCCATGTGTCCCACGTTCCAAATCAGCATGTCTCGATTTAGAAGGTTTCCTTCTATAGGGTCCGGATAGACATACATGCAGGTCTACTGAATTTCAAGTCACACTCACATATCATGTAATGTGTAAAATGTGTGTTGTGGTCAAGTACGACATATTGGAACAGAGTATCACAATAATACTGCTTACAGTACAGACTCTGTATCCTGATTAATGGTTATTTCTGATAAAACAGGTCCGTATGGCACAACATTTTTTGCGTGACACCTTGCAAACGGAGAGAGCAAGTCTAGGCCGCTAAGGACCCCACCCAGGTCCAGGGGCCGAAAGCCACTGAAAAAAAATCACGTTTTTGTGTTCTAAAAGACCAGATTGATAATGAATTAATTATAGATGCATGCTTTACTAGCTTTGTCAGTCGGTTTGTCTTTTCTCCCATGACGAATCATACTTTCGTTATTCATCCTAAAATTTGATGGTGTAATTTAATCTTGACGGATGTCAGTAATACAAAACACATACATAATTTGTATGAAAAACAATATAACAACAGTAATTAATAACGAGTTCTTGAAATGGCATACTGTAAGCTTGGCCAGGGGCCGCCAAGGGCCCACAGTTGGTAGTCAAGGAGCCCTGGAAAATTCTTGTTTTTGTGCTAAACGCATGCTTATGCATACTAAAGTATCTCTTTTGATGGATCGGTGTATCTACTGTTCGGCCCTGCCCTGGACAAATCATTATAATTTGTTTGTATCCAAAAGAATACAACAAACGTAAATGCTCACTACAACAAAGTAAATGTACTAAAGAATATAAAACATATTGCTAACTGATGTTATTTTTGTCATTCTTAAATGATTAAATGATGTATACAATGTAATTGTAATTAATTAATTTAACTATTAACTCAATTAATTAATTTAACTTGGTATACTACTCTTGACAAACCCAAACCCCCAGAATTGATGTCGTTTTCCTTGATTACGGTAAAGTGACAAATTGCCCCACCACATTGTCCTTAAAAAAATTATCTATAAATTTTAATATAAGAGGCAATGTTTGGAGGTGGATTCGATCTTTCCTTATTGGGCGTACACAGCGTGTTGTTTATCATGGATCCATGAGTACCCTTACGCATGTCACATCTGGGATTCCTCAGGGAAGGGTTCTCGGTCCCCTAATTTTTAACCTTTTTATAAATGATCTTCCTTCTTTTCTTCAATCCCAATGTGCTCTACTACTGTTTTAACCTGCTTTAAGGTGTCCCTGTTACTTTTTTGTTTTTCCCACTTTACCCCTTTGTTCTTTGATTTTTGATTGTTAAGAAAGTATAATACATACTCCAAGTATTGAAATACACGCCATCGTGTTGGGATGGCGTGTATTTCAATACTTGGAGTATGTATTATACTTTCTTATCTGAGATTAATCAGTGGACCTTTCGGTTTTTGATTGTTTGTTTGTGAGATTTTATATTGATAAAATCTATAACTTCAATTTGTATTTTATTTCAAATTGCAATAAAGTGTTATCATGTTCGTATTTGTATTTGTAAGCACTGTAAAAACAAGTGTAGGCCTACAGATGGATGGATGGGGTTTTTTTTTTGTGTAACCCTTACTCTTTTCCGAAGAGTGTACTGTGTTTTTTAACATGCACATGGGCCATACAGCACCGAAAAGACGGTGTGCTATTATTAAACCGGGGACCAAAAGTTTTCCATGGTTCGGCACACACACACAGAGTTTTAGCCGACTATAGTTTTAGCTGCTCTCGTGTATGGAAATGCAAACAAATAATTAAAATGAGATTTCGAGTCTCAGCCATTCTGGAATCAGGTGCCTCCTAACCTGATTAAAGCTAATTTGAAAATTCCCTGGCATGGCAGGAAAAGAAAAGAGAATGTAGAATAAAATTAACTTACCATATGGATTTGCTCTGTAATCTGGGATCTATAATAAAAGTAAATATAATTGAATATGTTGGTTAAGCATAGTGATATCCTACTGTACACCAAACTGTAGGCCCTATGAAATTCTACTTTCCTAATAGAGTACTGTAGACCTGTAGTCTCAATTATTTTCCTTGTTGTTATTGTTACTTGCACACAGCAATGCAGTGAATGGACATTTGGCATGCTATTCCATCAAAGCTGAAGGCCTTCTATATAGTACAGCAGAACCCTTATTAAGTGGAAACCTTTGGGAACAAAAAAAAGTGTTCCCCGAATAGGGGTACCTCTATCCGGGAGACACTAAACCAGAAACATTAAAATTGTCCCTTTAATAGAGTTTTTTGGCATGTTTTCATGCAATGATGACATACATTCTTTATTATTTTTTTTAACCTAAGAATATTACAGTTAATTATAACTAATTTATAACAATAATTTGTAATGCAAAAAATAATTCATTTATGATATGAAATCAACAGATGTAATTAAAACAACAAAAGTTGTATATGTTCCCTACTGTTTCACCAAATATTCATTTTTTATATACAGGTCTCCCTCAAATTAAAGACCCTCCAAATAATTAATGACCACCTCCAATTAAAGACTACGTTTCTGTGGTCCCAAATTAACAAATGTCTTTTATCTTAATTATTCTAATTAGAGACCAAAGCTGCTAAAGACCTTGGAAACCCATTACAATTTGTTTTGTGTTCCAAAAATCGCTGAAAATCAGCCCTTTTTGAGCAGTTTTTTTAACGTATCTTCGTTAATATTAGACCGATTTTTTTGGCTGTTTTTGAAACTTGTTCCTTATTTATTCAGCTATAATGTCATGTTATTTTTAATTTTAAAATCAGTGAGGTGTCGTCGGAATCTTTTTTTTAAGCCAAGTCAG